CTACACTGAACATGTAAAAGGAAAAACTTTCCTTTTCCTGCTATATTAACAAGGAAATTCTCTTTGGTCCCCAATATTCACATCCCAACACTGACAAGGTTGTGGGTTTAAGATGGGCAGTTAATTATGCTCAGTCTGTGGCAGCTATGACCCACCACGCCCCAACCGGCCTCCCTACTGCTGCCCCAGCCTGGCCCCAACCTGGTGCATCTAAGAAGCCCTCACTCGGGAGGTCAACCTTGCTCCAACCCAGTTCCAGCTGCCTCTGCCCTCAAGATGCTGGTATTTTGTGGAATGGATGGTCTAGAAACCTGTTTTGTAGGTCATTGGAGAAACTGAATTTTGACCCAGTTTCTCAATATCCCTTCAATTTGCCCAAAATTAGAAAGCCAGCCTTCGTCGGACAAAATCCATCTCATACCTTCTCTCCTTTAGTGGCAAAGTCTCCTTTTTCTTGAACTTGAGCTTGTCCTGGCACTCCTGGAGGCCCACTGACCCCCTGGTCACCCTGGTGATCCAAACAATGGGAATGAATTAGGCATAAAATGAAGTATTCAAAGAAGAAAATGCAGAGGCAGGGAAAAGCCTAAGACAAAACATCTATTTTAAAAAAATGTAAATTATACTCTGTTCTAATCTATCCCTGTCTCAGCAGAAAGTTAAGTTTCAGTAGGAAGATGGCACAGTAAGGACACGAAACCAGGAGACTTTCCCTCTCAGGAGTCAGGAAAACCACTACGTCAAGTGAGAACAACAGAACTCAACACCTACTAGACACATCTCTGCACCATCTATGTATGGACCTTGCCTATATTTATGCAGTTTATGTGTCCAGAGCGGGACACATGCGCTGTCCTATCGCATTTGGACAGAGGAAAGGGGCACGAACTACTCAGTAGAGCCTGGGAAAAAAGGAGGTATCTTTAGCTGCCCCCAAAGGAAGAGAACCATCAAGAATTTTCTTCTTCGGGTGTCCTAACTGTTGGGTACAACTGGAAGCACAGAATGCCAGCGACAGCACAATGAGTGAAATCCAAAAACTTCAATGGCGTAATTTGCAGGGTCACCTTACGGTGAGGTTTATGGAAAGCCTGGACCAAATTCAGAGTGGAACACAGAGGCCACGCGTCAGTCTAGGCCTGCCCAGGCCTCAGCTGCACTTGGCACGCACCAGTGGACACCGATGGAGAACGTGGGCCCTGGGGCAGGTGTGGCCACAATCCCCAGAACCCCCACTGGGCTTGGGCCCATTTCACCTGTCTGATCCTGGGAAACCGGTGGACAGATTAGCAGAGGATCAGGGACCTACCGCTGGCCTCCCTTCTCCCCTGCTCCAGTCTGTGCTTCCCTGCCTCTGTGGCTCACTTCCTCCCCATTTAGGTAGGATGGCCTTCCATCTTTGCAGGGTTTAGTAGAGTTACGCTACTAATAGTCGACTGACTCTTTTCTAATAAAGTCTAGGTCTGGCTTTATCACTCCCTGCGAACATTCTGATTGAACTCGATGTACAGAGAACTAGAATTAATGGCCTCATTGTATTCTCTGGTCAGATTGCAGGTAGAAAATGTCAGTGAATTCCAGCTGTCCATTGTAGGGAAAGCACTAATAAGGAACTTACAGAGAAGGGTAATGATGGTTGTAAGGGTCCAAGAGGGGGTCCAGAGGCAGAAACCCCATTATACTTAGAACTGTAATTTTTTTTTCACAGAGCTACAAAAGAACTTTAATTTTAAACATGAAAATACTCCAAAGCCGTGTGTACTCACTTTGTCGCCTTTTGGCCCTTGAAAACTTAAGCCCATTTGCCCCTGTTGATGAAAAATTAGGCTTCCATTATTAGAGTTGTCTACTTGGCTCAAAATCATCTAATAAATATCACATAAAATACCACATAAAATGTAATAATAGGGTAGAGTTAAGGCAAGAGCTTCTTCCAACAACTATCATAAAATTTTCAACAAAGTTGTGATCGCATTATATTCAATGTCTATTAAAAGAACTTTTTTAAAAGTATTATTGAAAAAATTCTATAAAACCTTTTTTTT